GGGGGGGATGGGCTGGGGGGTGCAAGCAGGGATTCCCTGGGGGGTCCTATGGGGGGGGAGGGGCTGTTCTGGGGGGGTGTGGGGGCAGCGGGGGGACCCTTTTGGGGGGCTGGTTTGGGGGTTGAGTTTCAGGCCCCCCCTCACCTCCTGTGCCCCCCCAGCCTGATCGGGCTCCCCCAGGAGGACGAGTGGCCGCAGGACGTGGCCCTGCCCAGGGAAGCCTTCGCCCCCTGCGCCCCCCGCGAGCCCCGGGGGGAGGTCCCGGAGCTGGGGGACAGCGGGGAGCAGCTGCTGCTGGTGAGGGGGGACCCGGGGGGGGGACACGGACGGGACTTTGGTGGGGGGACAGCACGGGGACACAACAGCTGCTGCTGGGGAAAACACAGTGGGGGGAATGGGAACACTGGGGGACCCGTGGGGACACAGGGATGCTGTGAGAGTGTGACAGTCGGGGACACTGGGGGGGGACAGGGGGACCTCTCCGTCACCCCCTGAGCTCGGCAGCCCCTTTGGGGAGGGGTCACAATGGAGCCTCCCCCGTTCCTGACTCGGTCCTGTCCGGTTCCTGCCCCAGGCACTGCTGACCTTCAGCCCCCACAAGCGAATTTCGGCTCACGAGGCCCTGGGGCATCGGTACCTGCAGGGGGGGCGTGAGGGGTGACCCCTGCCCCCCCAAAAACCACCCCGAACATCACCCAGGACTCTCATACCTGTGGGGGGGGAATTGTGGGGTGACACCCCCCAAAAACACCCCCTGAGCCTCTCCACCTGGTGGGGGGGGTGAGGGGTCCCCCCCCAAACACCAGAACCCCCCCCGGACTGGATGGGAGGGGGGACCCCACTTATTGGAGGGGGGGGGTCGGTTTCTGGGACCCCCCCAATTCTGTGCCAATAAAGGGGTGTGGGCAGTGCCCCCCCAGCTCGTGTGTCCCGTGGCACTGGGGGTGCCTGGGGGGGGGTCACTGCTCTGGGGACCCCCCAGAACGAGCCTGAGCCGTGGTCACTGTTGTGTGTTTATTTGGGGGGGGGGTGTCCCCCTGCTCCCCTCCCCCATCGAGTCTGGGGGGTGGGGGGGGACACACACTGGGGGGTCACTGCTCCCAGTCATGGTGTAAACCAGTACAAACCAGTTTAGGGGTGTTGGGATGGGGGGGCTCTGCTGGATTTGGGGAGATGGCGACCCCCCCTCAGCCCCCCCAGCCCCCAATGCCCACGGGGGGGGGTGTGTGGGGGAGGGGTCACTGTGGTGGGGGTCCTGCCCCGTGTGTCCCTCCCCAGTGTGGGGGTGACCATGAACCCCCCGGGGGGGGGGGACACACCGTGGGGGGGCTGGGGGTGTCCGAATGACCAGTACAAACCAGTTTGGGAGGGCTCAGACTGAGATTGGGGGTGGGGGGACTCCGCCCCAGGCCCCTTTTGCTGGGGGGGGGGGGGGAGCAGCCCTGCTGGGGGGGTCACCCCATGATTTTGGGGGGTGTTTGTGTCCCCAGTGCTTCATGCGGCTGCGGGGGGCAGCTGATCAGCATTTGGGGGGTTCTGGACGCCCCCCCAGGCTGTGCCCCCTCCCCAGAGGAGCTGTGGCCCCCCCGGGGACCCCACCACTATAGGAAGGCGCCGGGGTTGGCGCGGGGGTCCCGCTGGTTCCGGAAGCGGAGGGCGAGCCAGACCCCCAAAACCTGCAACAAACAGGGAATTGGGGGGGGGCTGCTGGACCCCCCCAACGCCTTGAGACCCCCACTGGCTCCCCCCAACCCCCCCCGTACCTCGGTGAAGCTGAAGAACAGCCCGACCCCCCCCAAAATCTTGAGGGCCTGGTCCGAGTGCTGCAGCAGTTGGGGGGCACAGGGGGGGCAGGGGGGGACTCCCCCCGGGGGGAACTGGCACCTCTGGGGGGGAAACAGGAGGGTCAGGGGGGTCCCCACCAGCCCCCCACCCACCCCCGGGGGTCCTCAGCCCCCCCATCACCCCAGGACACACAGTGGGGGGCACTGCTGGCCCCTCCTGGGGACATTCAGCACATTCAGGGGGTCCCCAAACTTCCTCCGTTTCCCCCCGAAACCCCCAACCCTCCCCACCCCCCCAGGGCCCCCTCCAGCCTCCCCAGGAGTGTCCCCAAATCCCCCTGCGCCCCCCAGGAGGACTCTCCAAGCCCCCCCAACTCCCCAGTGACCCCAAAACCCCCCCAGCTGCCCCTCCCCAGACTCACAGCGGGGCAGTTCGGGGGCTCCCAGGGGGGCTTCAGCCCGGGGGGGCTCCCGGGGGCGGGGCTGGCAGGAGGGGGGGTCCCGGGGGGCTCCCCCAAACCACAACAGCCCAGCCTGCGCTGCAGCTCCCCCCGCGCCCCCCCGCTCAGCAGGGGCCAGGCCGAGCGCAGCAGCCGCTCCTGAGGGGCAAGGGGGGGGTCCCCAAAAATCGGTCAGTGCCCCCCAGGACCCCCCCACCGCCACAGGGCCCCCCAAACCCGCCAGGGCCCCTTTGTGCCCCTCCCTGAGGGATCCCAAGCGCTGGGGGGTGTGGGGGGTTCCCTGTGCACCCCGGGATTGTGGGATGGCTTGGGGGGTTCCCATGGGTGCCCCACGTGTGGGGTGGGGGTCCCAGAGGGGTCCTGGGGGTTCTCCAGGTGGTGTGACCCACCTCAGATACCCAGGGTTTGGATGGGGAGGGGACCAAGAGGTTCCCTAAGCCCCCCAGGGAGTTGTGGGGTCGCAGGGGGGTTTTGGGGGTCCCAGGGGGTTTTGGGGAGCCCAGGGGGGTTCCCAGTACCCACCTGAGCCTCCCGGCCCAGGGCGAGGCAGGCGCAGGACACGCCGAGCTGGCACAGGAACACCAGGCCCAGGATCAGCACGTACTTGGGGGGTCAAGGGGGGGGCCACACACACACGGAGACCCCCCCCCCCCAAAAC